AGGGTGGGGGTTGGGGTGGTGGGAGGTGGGTTGGTGGGAAGTTCTAATTTTACTACTTTTTTATTATTCTGTTCTTTGTTAGTATTATTAGTGAAAACTGAATTAGCATCCCCTTCTTGTTTGACTGCCATCTTCCTTCAAAATGGCAGGGAGGATTTCTCATTTAAAAACCTTTTTCGAAATTGAAAAAATGAAGTATATAGACCTAATTTTGCTTTCACAAAGCTTCAAGATGTCAATTTTGAGAAATAAAATTTAGGTTCAACAAATAGATTGGAAGATCCAAAATAGAGTACATACCAACATAATACCAATGGTAGAACGCAAGAACGCAGATAAAGTTTTCTTATATAAAGAATTTATCATGTCTCCCATCCCTTTCACCAATTGCATTATTGCTTGTCCAAGATATTGGGATAACTTTGACAAAATGCTGACAACCGTGGTAAACCAATTCCCTTTAGAGTTCACTTCCAAGTCATCGCCTTCAGTCTGGTTACTTTTTCCACTTGGATTGTCCTTAGCTACAGGGCATGAATTCAGGGGTGCTAGAATTGCTGGCGCAACAAGTATAACGGCAGCAACCCGCTCAGGTGCTTCAAAATATGCTTCAACTGCTACAAGGGAACCAGCTGAGTGTCTGGTGTCTCATTAGTTACCAATAAGAATCAAATCTTTGAGAATGAAATAGGAAGAGCAAAGGAAGGAGGGCGATAATGCAACCAAAATGACAATTTGAACTTCCTCTCAATGGAATCATGTATCTACTTCGTCTGACCAAGTAAATAAATTTTCTAATAGTTGCAGAGACAGATGGGAGGGGAAAGGTAATGAAGATAATGATTGAGAATAATAATTATTAACTTCTGATCATGTAAAAGTTCATCGGAGAGTAGGCCAGTCATTGATTTAGGAACACACGTCTGATTTTCCACAAACATCATTTTCACCTTTCCTTCCTTTCATACTTCTTTCATTTGTGGTGTAGCAGATGGACCATTATTTTGGAAACTGAGCTAGTGAAACTAATAAGAACTATAAGAATGCTAATTCAGTTTTCACTGCAATAATTTCAAGCTAAATAAAATCACATCCATAACATGTTCATGAAGGAGATTGTGGGGGAAAAACTATAAAATAGAACTTACCCCACTAGAATTGCCTTCTCAGTTGCTAAGAAGTCAATGAAGTATAGAGCGGCCAGCACGGAAAATACCATAGAGTAAGGATTAAAGGGTCTGGTGTCTTCACTTCCCTGAGATGAATCGTTGACATGATTCAGCCTTGAAGTCAACCCAAAGGCTGGTCTGTCAAAGGCCAAAACTTTTGATCCTGTGACCTGTGCCAATGGCTTCATAACTCGATTCCATGAATAAATAGAGGCACCAAATCCATGTAACAATATCATGGGAATGTTCACTCTTTTATTGGCATTAGGAGATCGAGAACTATCCCCTTCTTCTGACAAGTTTGTAGCAAGTGATTCTGAATCATATATCTTGTGGTGTATCTGTACTCCTTTAAACTCGCAAAAGCAACTATCAGGATCTGCTAGAAGAGCTGGATCTTGTAATTCATCTTGATCTATTCCTGCTATCTGTTTTTTCCGCTTTGGCCTTGTCTCAGGTAGTTGTTCTGGATTAACTTAGAAAAATAAAGAGACGGATAAGATGAAAAGAGCGAAGACTCCCAGCTTTATCAATTTTCTCAGCTGCTTCTAAATGCCAACAAAAATCTGATTGAACTCCCATATGTTCCATTCAGCGTTAGCAGTTCTCCAGCATTGCTTAGCCTCTAATAACAGACTTGATATTACTCTCACATTTTTTTAGTTGACTTCTCAGGAGGAAATAGATTGGTAAACAAGCATTCAATTGCTGAAAGTTAATTTGCACTATAGAGCATTTATCTAATATATATATA